TTAAACTTTATGGAGATTACCTACCCCGACCACTTTGTGAGCAAAAATACTTTCCTGATATTGAAGGGGTCCCAATGGGCTTGTTGTTATGCCACTGTTTTTGTTGTGCAAGCTGTGATTGCAGGTATGCAATAATTGTTTGATTCTGGTTAACACAAAAAAAATTCTACAGAAAGCAAATAAAATTATACCAAGGTAACACAATTACTATTTGTTATTTCCAGAATTCCAGCGCTGCTATTCCACGAAAATAATTTCTTGGCATTTTGTGAGAAACGACTTAACGGAACGAAAGACTATGGACCAATGAACATGGTGTTGCGAAGGGGATGTTTAAGTGATGAGGGTATTAATTGGGAACCTGAGGTTAAATTGTACCCTGAAAACGACTCTAAAGATACCGATAAAAAGAGGTTTGGATTTGGTTTACAGACATACATTTAGTGTATTGTACAGAGGCGTAACCAGTGGCGGCACCAGCTAGGTACAGGGGCTTAAATCCACCCACCGGACAGGTCAAGCCCCCCCCCCCCCCCTTCAGACAGAGCTCATCAGGCAGTCAGACCATAAAAAATATATAGAGTGCTTTCTTTGAAGGCAGCTCAAAATATATATATATTTAAATTCTTAATACAGGTAGTCTATGTTAGGGACGTTTAATGTCCTCCAATCTAAAGCAATAATTGTTGTTTTTTGGTACATTCTGTAGAGTTTAATTATCATTTGAAGAGGTCAGCCATCAACCAACTTCTAGATTCCATCAAAATAATATTCAATTCAATTTGATAAGCCACTGTACCATATAATACTAGTTTATTTCAAGTTTTTGATGGAGGGGTGAGGGGAAGAATAAAGTTCTTGTGTATTGCTTTAATATTTATCCAATAATGTTTTCAAGCAATAAGGCACAATTACATGATCATTACTACATGTATGCAAAATTTCATAACCAACAGGTGTTTGGAAATTTAGATTTGCTTGTTTACAAACTTTTGACAAATTGGATGACATCATTGTCAGAGACACACAGTGGATGACTACATAGGTTTCTTTGCTTTAAAGCATAGGAACCAATAACATAGATCACTGTTGCAAGTAGCATACTACTCCCAATGGTAGCCCAAGCAGGCCCGTAGCCAGGTCCTTCCAAGGGGGGTTTTCTGGGCGTGAGGTCCACGGTCGAAGGCCAGCTGGGGTCGGCAAAACCCCCAAAGGATTTTTGTGCTTTATGGGTCTAAATAATGCTATAAAAGTAGATATGTTTGAAAACACATGTGTCTGGGTGGGATTAGTTGGGTTGGAGGACTTATTTGGGAAATTTGAAGAGGGGGATTCGCCATAAAAGAGGGGGGTTTGCTTGAAAAGGGGGGTTCTCCCGAACCATAAACGCTCCTTCCCCCCCTACGGGCCTGCCAAGATTCCCAAGCACCAATGGTTTTTTTTACCACTGTCTCGCTTTTTTTTGTTTTATTTTTCTCTTTGTAATTTTTATGTGTACCTGAATAAATAAATATAAATACAAATACTTAATTGGTAAATTTAAAGTATGTACTATTGGAAAGATGGAAGAAAACAACAATAGCATTAGCTACATTACCAAGATGTTTTCTACTTAAGGAAAAGTAAAACAAAAACTATTCTTATGTTTGTAAATGTTATCATTATTTGATATATGTAAACTTGTAAAATGTTTCCTTTGTTTATCTACTCAAGACCAATGAATCCTGTTCCTATTGATGTTGGGAAAAACCACATCATCTTGATGTTTAATACCTATCCGGAAAACACTCCATCATCAGTTATGCAACAGAGCAATACACGTCTGTGGCAGATACGAATAAAACACAGCTATGATGGAGGAAAGACTTGGTCTATCTCTCAACAGCTTCCAGTTGATCACATATTTTCAGATTCCAAGAAGAGGCCTATTCCATCTTACTGTGCTGTTGGTACGTTACCTCCTGGGAGAATTCAAGATTAAAAATGTTATTCAATTTAATTTATTTTTAATTCAAATGCCATTAAGAACCAAGATCTGCTTCAAATTAATAAAAATTACTTTTACATTTTTAATAAAAAGAAATAAAAATATAAATTATTCATACGGCTGCGGAGCTGACGACCATTTTCCAAACGCTACGATTTATGGCAAGTGCGACAATTTTATCTGGCTGCAGAAGTCCCTAATAATTAAAACAAAGCAATGTTCAAACAATTGATAATGAATTGAGTGGGTAATGTTGCTTGGGTGAGATGTAAAATTCAGTTGTTTAGAATATTCTGGAGGAGTATAGGAAAAAATCGAGGAGAGATAGAAAACAAAAGGGAAACAGGTCTTCATTTTCAAATAAATTTTTGTAAGGACTTTGATTTCTTAAGATTAAATGATTTCTTTTAAAAAACACCTTTAACAAGCTTTGTCAGTGTGGTTATGCCCTCTGTCCTGCATGAAATAGCACTACATAATTTCAGCAATGTATTTATGTTAAGAATCTATTAAAAATTATTTTATTTGTTATCACAGGGCCTGGACATAGTATCAAATTGGAATCTGGAAGATTGGTTGTTACTGGAAATATTGCCTGGCCAAAGTCAGTAGGAGAAAGTAAGCGTTTTAATGGTTGGAACTAAAGAATGATTGGCAGTCAATGAAAGTAAAATTAAAATTAATAGTCAATGAAAGTAAAACTAAAGAAGTAATCTTCAATTCACTGAACTTCATAGTGTTCAATGTCTTGTCAATAAGGCCTGTAGATTTTTATAATTGATGGTATATAAAGAAACAAGTACAAGCAATAATGAAAGATAAGAATCATTATTTAGTTGGTTAAGATCTGGTAGACATTTCATTGATGTTCTATGTAATGAATAACCTTTGAGCAATTAACAAATAAACTATGAATGAATTTGTAAGTATAATAAAAAAAAAACTATTACAACTATTACAATTCTAAATACATTAAGCCTGATCATTTTTAGTTAAAG